AAACAACGTACATCCAGTTGTTCTAAGGGCGCATAAATGATCTCTGCACCTTGGAACGTAAACATGATTTTCGTTTGCAAATTTCTTATTACAAAGTTAATAAAATCTAAGATATAAAAATTGCATAAATTCTTCGGTTCAACATAAAAATTCTTATTTCCATGTAAACGCGTATGTTAATTTCATTCTCTATGCGACGACCGCTTGTTTCCAAGGCTAACTCTGCTGTTACTTGTGCCATGTGCCGTTGCATGCACCTGAGTTCGAAATGGAAATTGACAACTATCATACATGTGATATCAGTTGACGATAACGACTTGTTATGCAAGTCGAAAATAATAAATAAACAAAACAAATTACTTATTAAAAATTCAAACTTATGAGAATTGGGTAAATGAAACAGATCTCATTTAAATCGTACAAGTAGTTTTTTGGTACGGGAAGTTCCAGCAATTTGCCTTAAGGCACAATGCCATCCACCACTAGTTTATTTTTCTTCTGCTTCCATACTTCCTGGTTCTGCGCATCAGCTTCCAGTTCCCTGTATTTTCTCTTCTATTGGCAACCATCAACCATCAGTATTATTCTTCCTCCGAATCTTTTAGTTCTTCTACTTTATCTTCAATGATGTTTATAACTTTTGTAAAGAATTGAAGTTTACTATCAATTTTATTAACTTCCCGTAGGGCAAGAAAATGAAAATTTTTATATATCGTTACGTTTCAAAACCTTCTGAACATTTTGGCATACCTTAGACAAAATGGATGTATGTGTGTGTGTTCGGAAATATGTCAGAATAAAGGAAGGTTCGGAAATATGTCAAAATATGTCAGAATAAAGAAAACATTTTTTTTCAAAAAAAAGTAATTTTTTGTCAAATTTATAGATTCTCAAAAATCTTTTTTAAAAATATAATAATTTTTGGTACGGAAAGTTTCGGCAATTTGCCTTAAGGCACGATGCCATGCGCCCTACTAGTTTCATAATTGGAGATTCTGGATTAAATATTTGTATACATGTACTTGTACTTTACCACTTAATTATCTCTTAATTACAATTAGTAAAATTTTGTCTCTTTTTCTCTAAAACTTTGTCAGAATCACTTTAAGCGTTGAAAAAAATAAATCTAGCAAGTCGGATTTTCTGGCAAAACTTCTCCATCAGGAAGTTAAAGATTACTTCATTATTACTGATCACCTTCTAAAATCAGTGTTGTTTAAGAGGAAGCTGTGAATGTTTTCACAATAAAATTAAAAATTTAACCGGAAAATATACTTATGATAATTAGTGCCAGTTTTAATGAATTCTTCGTTTCTTTGATAATCTGCGCAAAATATAAATATGTAAATGGGGTCAAGAAGATTTTTCATGGCAAATCTTTGCGTATGCGTGAATATCAGCGCATTTTTTATATTTTATTTATGAATTAATTGATTCAATTTATATTAACAGTATCCTTGTGCATTAAACCGACCTTCATCAATGAAATTACACAGATTTATTTTGATATATCAATTGCAGCAATAAAAATACCGAGATTGTATCGCAATTAACAGGAAATATAGTACTTTAGAAATAAAAATATATTATTTGTGATGTTAATGAATAAATATACTAGGTGTAAGTTGCTTGTTTTGAGACATGTTGTATGATAACTTCCCGACATAAGTAAATTAAAGTAAATATTTGACTAAATCAGTAAAAAATCAACATGTGTATAATTGCATTTGCAGATATATTAGTATAATTTTAGAAAGTCGTGAAAAAATGCTGGTAGGTAATTTTGCTTATAATTAGGTGTAATTATTATCATGGGAAACTGCACGTAAACCCGCATTGGGATTATATAAGTTTCAATAATACTTAAGCGTAGAAAAATATTTTTAAAAATTTGCCTAAAATTACTAAGCACTCTGAAACATCTTCGAAAATAAATAAAAACTTGCGGAAGATCAAAATATCTTCCAATTGTTCCAACCACTACGGCTTGACATCCAGCTGTTTAAAGCAGGATTTGAACCCGGGACCTCTGAATTAAATATACTTCTAAATATGTTGGTCTTTTACTATTAGATGGTCTTTTATCCTTTGACTATAACTGAACTTTTGCGTCGTATTATATTTTCATACCATATTCAGACGTATTATCGTTCTGTTAAAATTGTGCACTCAGCCATGATTCAAATTGGAAGTTATTTAAATCTGATTTAATGCATTGGCGTAATGCATTTCAAGCGGTAGAAGATAATGGCACTAAATTATCATTAGCCAGTTCATTATACATATGCCGCAATAATGGCAAAGATAAAAAGCAAATTGATTCAGATTGCCATTATTGGGCGGAAAAACTATGCACATCAAAGATATTGAGCTCGTGAAATGCTTCCAGAAGGAGAAGATTTGATTTATATTTTCGCCAAAAAATACAATTATCTAATTTTATGTTTTCTCAATCTGAATCTCAAATGATTCTAAACCGTTTGACACCAAATTTAAAAAATATGTGTGTGCATTAGTGTGTATGTGCATATGAGATTTTTCTTCTTGCACCAACGTTTTTGCAAAAACGACTGAACCAATTATAAAAATATAAAAACCATTTGGTGAAACTCGATAAGGATTAGCGTTGATTAATTTTGCAAGAAGATCGCCCGAGCCATTTTTTTTTTTAAATTTGTAAAGAAGTGCAAAATTTTTCGTCAAAGTTCTTGCAAAAAATCCTCCATCTATTTTGAAAAATTAGAACATCCTATTCAATTCATCTCTCTAAATGTTGGGAACCGTGCTGATTAATTTAATATTTGGTAAAGATCAGCCAGAATTTTTAGACGATTTCAAGGAAAATTGGCACTACGATAGATTTTATGGTCTAAAATATTAAAATATTATAAAGCTTCAATGAATAGATGCGAATTATAAAAATTCATCAAAGTTTGGAGTAATGAGCCGCGCGCTTTAATCATTCTAATTAGAATCAACACCAAGCATTTTCGTGCATTTTCCCATAATGATAATTACGCATAATTATAAGCAAAATTACCTACCAGCATTTTTCAAGCAAATACTGTCCTGATGGATGATAGTTGAAATAAAAGTGTTAAATAAATTAATTTAATTTATAAAATTACAGATATTATATAATACTAAAAGTTAATATACTTAATTGCTTAAAGTATGTTTAAGTATGAGAAAACGACAATTTTATTTTCGAAATGATCGGTTGAACAATTTAATTAAATAGTTTAATCTCAATTGGTTAAGTTGATTATATATACGTTTCGGGAAGTTCATGCAACTTGCCTCAAGGCAAAATGCCACTACAACTAGTTTGCGTTATTTACAATTTGGCGAAAATTTTAAACCCGAATTCTTAATAAATATATGTAATATTCTACACTGATAAAAAAATGCGCGGCTGGCATGTTTTAGTTTTTACATGGCGCATATTTCACCTCATATATATCATCGTGATGGTTACAAAAGGCTTCGACATCAAAAGAAAACATGAAAAATGTAGAAAATAATTAGTGAGCATGTTGCTACATAACAAACGATCCTCATCCATAATTCCCAATTATAAAATCGTATCACGTCCCAAAGAACATCCGCAAAGTCAGACGCACGAATTCTATAAAATAAATTGCAAACATTTGATTTGAATGTGCAGCATTTGCTTGAATAATGGACATGCATAATTATGCAAAATAATCGAAAACGTAAAACGAAAGTAACTAGGTGTATATTTTTTAAAAAGACTTATAACATGGCACTTCTATGCCATACAAGCACAGTCCACTATTCCAAAATTTAATAATTTTATATAATTCAACTACTTTTCGTAGACCTCTAATATTTTAGGATGTTTGTTTATATCATATGACTCTGTCGCTATGTTCAATTCCATTGAAAACGCAAAAAAAAATTATCAAAAATCACCACGGTTCTGAATTTGGGTATCTCAAACGATAGTTTTCTAACCGTTTTTATATTTTCACTTCGAGTAAAATATTTTGAAGGTTTCAAAATATATTTTGAAATCAAGTTTTATTCAGTTGAAATTTAAAAAAGATTACATTTTACACACACCCTTTATAAATTGGGAAATGCAACCTATGAACAATATTCTTAAAAATTTTGAAATCTACTCTGTTACTGTAACGTATCCTTGAAAAATGTATTTTAAATTTTCTTATAAAAACTTTAAAATCATGTTTTTTTTCAAAATGTATCAAGTTTCAGAAAATTTTGTTTCGTGTAACAATATTCAAAATACATGAAATGAAAGAATATACTCTCCGTAAATTTTTTACATCAGATGATTTACCAAATACTTTTGTAAATTATGTTATGAAACTATATGTAACTAATTTAGTGTTATAATTTTACAGAAATAGTTATCAAAATATTTATTTATAATTATTTACCAAAATATCAAACCTATCATTCTCAGGTTTTTGAAGAATTATTTTTTATTTAATCTACAACTTGGAATTATTTTCTATGCACAGACAAATTTTTGTTTATTTAACATATTTTAAACCTTCCGAGAGGCAAATACTACTCTCTTACTATTATACTTTATATTTTGCCTGATTGAAAGTAATTTATACAAAAATATATTCTGTCACAATCTTTAAACATAATTCTGTCATTTTAATATATTCAATCAATGATAATTTTACAAATAAAAATTATATTAAAATATTATTTGATCCATTATACATAAAATTTTTTAAATATATTAATATATTATAATTATAATATGTGCTACTTTTAATTTTTAATTACCTTACTTTAAATGAAACATTTCATTATATTTGAAAATAATATATTTTATTAGTAAATATAGAGTATACAAAAAAAATCAACTTCAAACTTTTAACTAAAGTTAAATATATTTCATATGAAGGAATAAACGAAAGTAAACTTTGTATTCAATATCTTATTAGACAATTCATAACAGTATTAGAATTATAATGAAAAATTAAATCATTCTTAAGTTAATTAGAACGATTGATGTCCAGCATCTCATTAACTAATTCTCCATTAGTTTCGTTAACGCCTCCTGTGCTTTGTAAACTCTTAGCAACGTCTAAGACTTTTGATGTAAACAGATCTTTTTGATCTTTTGTAAATTCTTTCAAAATCGGTTTCAACGATGAAAAAAAGGCTGAATCATCAGCACAAATATCAGTGTCCGTTTGGGCAGGACCATTTTCATTATTGTCAACTGGTTCATGTTTTATTCCATTTGTTTTCACAGATTCTTTCTCATCATCTGAACTGTCAATTATTTCACAATCAGAATCAATCAAAGACTCTGAGTATTTGGGTTTTGTTCCTGAATAAGTAAATATCCTTTTATTATCTGGATTATTTATAATTATTTTATTCAAGAATGATAATAAATCATAATGTTGATACACATTCGAATTATGATCAAGCAGTTCCAATTTTCTTCTTGATCTGTATTTTATGAAAGAGTTTACCATTTTTCTCCATCGTCGTTTAACAGAACAAACTGTAATAATTAATATTTTAAATGAAATTTTAAATGCAAATATACATATGTAATAGGTAAGTAAATTCAAAAAGTAATAATAAAGATCGGTTAATAGAAATGCTAAAGACTGTGCTTGGATGAAGCAATTTCAACTTTACTGAAGGAGCAATTACTGCCTTCTGGTATACAATTTAAATATTTTATATTATGTTAAAAGTGATGGTTACTTTTTGAACAAAGCATGTACTAATGCGTACAGAGAAATTTATTGGAATTAATCGAGCAAATGAATAAATCAAATAATATTAACTCACAAATTCTTCTATGGTCTTCAGGAGGTATTCTTGGCATAATTTTATAAACTATTTGCCTCCAAGCATAAGCACAAACTCGCTCATTCTGATAATGAATGTTCGTTGTATCCCATATACATGGATGATTACGTACTTCTTGAATAATTGAAGCACTGTCAATTATGTAGATCATAATGGAATTAAAACTTTTGGAAATATTTGGATATTCTAAATTTTTCTGCAAAAATAAGTAATTGATAAGTTATATATATATATATATATATATATATAAATTATTAGGTTTTTTTATATATGTATTATATATTTTATATATTATATAATTATATAATATATCTTTTTATTATACATATACATATATATATATATATATATATATATATATATATATATATTGTAACTATGATTTATTATAAATAACAAAATATCAAGATGTAAATATGAACACAATGCATTCAGCTAAGTTTTTGAAAAAACTAGTTCTTTGCACAAACTTTATTTCATAAGATTGCAGATTTTTCGAGACTAAGGTATGGCTCATTTTCAGTGTATATTCTTACAGTAAAAAGTATAATAATTAACACACTATAAATTTAATTATAAATTATCTACTATTTATCTATCTACAACTATTAACTTTCAACCCTTTCAATATATATGATCACGCCTTTAACAGAAGGTTGATAGTTGATCCTTATTTAAGCATAATTTATAATTAATATTTAATAAATTGTCAATAATTATACATTTTTCTGTAAGAATTTACACTGAAGATGAGACAAACCTCAGTCTCGAAACATAGGTAATCTTATGAAACAAAGTTTGTGCAAAAAACTGAGAGTAGTGTGTTCAAATTTCAATATATATATATATATATATATATATATATATATATATAGTATAACTCAAAATGTACTTTTAATCACATACATTTCTCATACATTCATTCACACATCATAATCATACATTTATCGGCAAAACAAGGCACATTCTCATGTTTCATACAAAATACCATACTGATTAAATCAAACGCATGGCACATTATTATAATATATATTAACTAATGTTATAATATACTAAAATAATATAATAATTATAATAATAATAATAATATACATCCTATAACATTTATTTTGCTAACTTCTAAATTTCTCTCCATAAAATTCATCATTATTGTAATTAATTAAAATGAAGCAAATATGTTATTAAGTTCATATTATCATAATTAATAAATTCACTACTGTTCAACAATTGCTTTAAACAATAATTAGATTCTTCAAAATAAAATTCACCCAAGTTTTAGTCGGCTATTAAATTAAATATGAAGTCAAAAATCTTGTGGGCTAAAGTGTGTTGTGAAGGAATTCTAATTTCAATGATTACTGAATGATCAAAATTACTAAAATACCAATATGTATGCTCAATAATTACGTAAATAATTGATCACTTATGTATAAGCAAATAAAGTATAAATACAGTAACTACATTAGCAGGATTGTCATTCCGATTCCTAGACATGATTACAAGTAATAACTAACTTACATGATAAATTGACATGTGGTGAAGATTATTCAACATACTTTACCTTTTATTTCTATATCAATTACTTCGGCGACTGTTTTCTTTATACAACCTTTCAACTTCTGTACGAAATTTATTTTGTAATTTTGCTATAGTTCATATATATGATTGTATCAGAATTGCTCATAACTTTCGCGTCGTTCGAATGGTTTTGGATGACAACTAAAGTAAAATAATTTGTTTATAATAACGACGAAAACGGATTAAACGTAACATTCACTTTCGTTCAACACACGTGTTTATGCACTTGCATAAGGTTTGTTCCATAGATAAAAGAAGAATGTATGGTTTGTTCTAACTGCATCAAGATGGCAGTTTATTTATCTATGATCAGTTCCAACGGACATCTATTCTTAAATATATATTAAAATTAAACTTATTTATCTATGATCTATTCCAATAGCAACTGCAATAAAGTGCTGAAAGTTATTGTTCAAAATGTCTTGTTAGATGTATAATTATTGACATTTTTTATATCTTATTATTTGTGGCTTATTTATATTTATATTTTAAAATAAATTATATTTAATTTTAAATTAGAACTAGTTGTAAGTAGCATTTAGCCTTAAGGCAAGTTGCATGAACTTACCGAAATGTGTAATAATTGAAATTGAAATTTAGATATTTAGATAAAATTTACTGTTCATTTAAAAAATAAAGTTATCTCTTTCAATTAAATCTAAACATTGCGATTTCCAATAGAATTTTCTCAAACACGTTTAAATTAATTGTAATTATATTAATCATCGTGCACAGACTCGTGTGCTTGTAAACTCTAAAATTGTAGCTCATTATTTTAAATTTCAATGAATTGATAATGTTTGACATCACATCAAAAAATCAACTATTGACTATAATATTTTCTCAAACTTTGATGAATTAACATTAAACTATTTATCGTAGGGATGTAATATTTTAGTATGTTCTATAAGACCATGATATTTATTGCCAAAAAGGTTATTTTATACTTTATTACAAGAAAACGGCCTGGCTGATCTTTATCTTATATGCCGCGTCTCCACTGTTACGAATCCGTGCGGCGAATGGTGCGTCACGAACAAATTTGCGCAGCGGAGTCATACTGTGCGAACCCACGAATTTCCTTCAAATTTGTCCACTGCGCATGTCCATAGCGCACTTTTTTCTTCTTTTTTTGTTTGAAAATGGGAGGGGGGGGTTATTTTTAGAATCACGTACCCTGCCGAACATGGTCGAAGCGACACGAAAATTTCAATAGCTTGCGTTCGCGGCGCTCGCTCCCGCCGCGAGCAACCCGAAGCATCGGGCTGCCGAGAATACCCGAACCGATACTAATGGATTAGAGTCAAAGCGCGGATCAAAAATGTAAATAAGTAAGCAGTCAACACCACCTTAAATCAGGCTAAGAATTTTGACATTTGCACATTTCAGCCAGCATGAAGTTGGCGACGAAATAGAAGTTAGCCGTCAAGTTGGAATGTATTGGATTCATAACTTGACAGCTAAAACTGTCAAGATCATTATTATCACAGCCAAACAAGTATTATTATTATTATGATTATTATATTGTCTCATACCAAGATGATAGCCTTTACCTTAGACAATATATTACGTTAAAATACAATATATCTTGTTCCCTCATAGCAAATATTGCAGAAAAAACGAAAGATATATGTCAATTCCAAGACATGAAGTATTTCGATTTAGTATTATAACATCAAAAGTGTTTCAATTTTATTTCATTTACTGAACCTTCTATTTGTTTTTGTTGAGTTTCAGTTAGCTTCCACTGAATTAAGGTTAAGATCGTAACCAAACCCTATAAATATGTAACTGTATGATAAAATGTAACCCTATGCGTAAAACGTAAGCGTAAATAATTTTTTTAAAACACAAATATAACTAAAACATTGTATAAAATCTAAGCTAAACTAAAATGATCTTTGAATGAAAAGAATCCTAAAACATAACCCTAAAATTAAAATAAGAACTAAATAGGCGCGTAATCAAGAAGCCAAAAGCGAATAAACTTGAACGGACATTAAAAAAATAAACACAAAAGAAATGAATCATAACGAAAAGCTAAAAAAATTAATATTAAATATGAAACAAGCGTACTTGATAAAAAAAAACAATACTCCGACGCAACGCTGTTATAAAAATTAACAAAATGGTCGACGCGCTCTTGACATCTGAAATGCTTGACAGCTTGATATCTGTCTTCGCCGGCAACTTCATGCTGGCTGAATTGTGCGCAAGTGTCAAAGTCTTAGCTTGATTTAATGCCTCCTAAGCAGTCATTAAAATTGATGTACTAATTATAATTTTATCTAACTATTAGTATAGGAAATACATCGGCAATTAAGTTATAGATATGTTGAAATATATGTATATCCAACTAAAATATATTTGGTAGACTTTATTTATCATATTTCAGAGTTAATTTATATCATCATGATATTATCATGTATATATAATATATATATAATATATATAATATATATATATATACTCTTACTACTTATATGACGTATCATATATTTATAATTAAAAATAAATTAAATGTTTCAAAAAAAAAAAAAAAATTGTAATATTGTATTATTTGCAATTACGCTAAATATCATTTAAAATCTTATTAATATGCAGACTGAATTTTTGCTCAAAGTCTTTTCTGACAAGTATTTATATTTAGAACAGAAGTAATAATTTTTATTCAAAACTGATAATTGTTGGTCAGCCTGCATTCTGTATTCGTATCCGTTATTTCTTTGAACTTGTACGTAAACGTTGATCTGTGCTACGGTATAAGTTCAATTGTACAGTGAAGGCATTGAGATATTTTCATCTTATCCTCAATTTTGAAAATGGATATGCGTAGAGAAGATGTTATACTTCTTTACACTTCTTATAATTGAACTGTGTCAAGAAAAAAAATATTATGGAATCCTAAAAATTTCAAATGTATCAAATTGCTCGCAGTGTGCGTCGCGCACAAGAGCCAACGCATGCGTGCGTCGCGAACAAGATTCGCCGCACGGATTCGTGCAGTGGAGACGCAGCATTAAACTAATCAGTACGATACCCAACCAATATCTTCGGAACTGTTTCTGATTTTTCAACATCGATTTAGAATTGCAGGCTAAAACTGCAATGGACGAAATTTTTTATATTTTTTTGCTATTTACAAAAAAATTGATAAACGATAGTCCTCATCGCGATACATCGAATGGCTTTTAAATTTTTGAAAACGGTCCAGCCGTTTTTGAGAAAACGTCGATTAACAGCAAAAAATCTATTCGCATGCACACACACATGCTTTTTTCAAATTTGATCTCATTCAATTCAGAATGGCTTTGAAATCCGAGAAAACTTAAAATTAGCGAATCGGAGTTTTTGATAAAAACACAAACTTCTGCTTCGCGAAGACGAATATCATTTCATGTAAATAATTTAATGATTATGATGGTGTCAATTTGTACATGGATTCAGTCTTTTGCTGACAAAAATTCATTGATCAATATGGACAATACATTACAGAACATAGTTATATTTAGTTCCATGAAAATATGTCTTTGATTTTCTACAAATATACAAGAAAATCCGCACTTACTTAGTTGCCATCCCAATAAAATACGTATCATTAAATTTAATAGTTGATCTGATTTTTAAAATTAATATTTCTGTTAAAAATATGTTATTTCTATGTAATCTATAAATCAATATATTTTCCGAATTCTGATGAGACGTTTATATAAAACTAATTATTTGTTGCAAAATTCTTTCTAGGATTTAATTTTTTTATTATAATCTACAAATTTGGATTTTAATTACTATTACCAAATTAGTTTTAAAACTAATTTGGCAACCGATATTTAAATATCGGTTTGATATTCAAATATCAGTTTTTAGTCACTTTTCCAACAAATGTGCAGTGCCATCTATGACGGAACCGGTCAACTAATCCTTTTTCCTTTTTGACTGATCTGGTAACACGAATGTGCGAACAAAATAAAATTACTGTTGGCAAGCCTTGACGAAAAATGTCTTTCCGCTTCTGTCGTTTGCGATAGCAAGGCAAGTTATTTTCTGTCTAAGTATTGTGATCAATATTAAGTTTACTTTGTATTATAATTGTATAATTTTATTTTAAAAAGTATTTTAGAAATATTTTGAAGTACGTGTATAAGTGATAGCTTTCATTATAAAGTCTTACACTTTATATACGTGTTGTATTTTGTGTGGTGTGTCGTGTGTTTGATTACATTTTTATAATTTCAGATGCCGTCTGTAACTCTTAAGGATGTTGAACAAGACAAGGTCGTCAAGGCGATCGCTGTCTTCTTAAAAAAGTAAGTTTTATTTAAGCTTTATATAAATATCAACAGAACCTGGGTATAATTTATCCTAACCTCAAATTATTCTGTGACAGATCTGGAAAACTAAAGGTCCCAGAGCACATGGACTTGGTAAAGACCGCAATTTTCAAGGAGTTGGCTCCTTATGACCCCGACTGGTTTTATGTACGTTGTGCAGCCCTAGTTAGACACATCTACATCCGTTCACCAATTGGTGTAGGATCCGTAGCTAAAGTGTTCGGAGGACGTAAACGTAATGGAGTATCTCCTTCACATTTCCATAAATCATCAGGAGGTATTGCACGCAAAGCATTGCAGGCTTTGGAATCCTTGAAATTGGTTGAGAAACACCCAGATGGTGGCCGCAAGCTTACCGTTCAGGGAAGACGTGATTTAGATCGTATCGCTGCCCAAGTTAGGGCTAAACAAAGGGCAAGAAAAGACACCACTGGTCCTATTGTTTTGTAAATCATGTTTATATATAAATAAAAAATAAGATCTACAAGTTCCTTTCATTTTCATATAGATCTTACATTATTTCAGTGTACACTATTTCTGGTGTTTAACAATGAAAATGCTCACTCGATTTGTAAAATAAATCGATGTTTCATCATACTCAATAGCCTTTTAAATTAAAAAAGAATTTCTTCAAACATATTTTGTTTATACTTGATTTTACACATAAAGCACTTACTGCTTTAAATATTAAAATCATATGGTTGCCTAATAACTTTAAATAAATATAATAAAAGTAAGTTCATTGTAGTATTTGGCCAAAAGTCCTATAGTTCTCTCCCAATTCTTCTTGTGAGAATAATAATTTTGCAGACATCGTAAAAAA